GGGGGGGGGGGCATTTTGCACTTAACGACTTCCCATCGACGTGTCGACCCATCTAGACAGCCTCTTCTCGAGTTGACAGGTTTTACCATGATGGCTTGACGAGCTTGCTCCAGCTTCACAAGAGTTCACAGGTTTCACCAGAGTGAGACTTGTAAACCAGAACTAGTGAAGCAACGAAAGTGCAAAATGCCCCCCCCCCCTATCCCGTCGGCAAACTGCGCCCTGAACTTGATTATCGATTTGTTTTGATACGATCTGAAGCTGCTTGTTCCATAGTGAATAGTATGAGTCATGTCCATTCCCCACTTTATTTAGTGCTGAGTCGGAGTCATTTTTGCTTTCAGCTTTCTCCGATTGTCTCCGCCATCGGCTTCTGATAATATTTCTTTCAGTGAGTGTCGACGACAAGCCGAAATCGTCATCATCATCATCATTTGGAGCTGGAACAGGTCGCGTTCCTGAAGTGAAAGAGACGACGGTGACCACGATGGTGGACGACGGATCGGCTCAAGACGAGTCAGTAAGCGGTGGTCCAGGCCAAGGTCTACCGGCCTCCTCACAACCACAAGCAACACGTCCACATAGCCCTTTACCCTCACCGTCACATGGACATCCCTGATCCACTTATGCCGGTTGCCGAGAACTGGTGCCATACTCAGGTTCGTCTTGCTTGAATTATTTTCATGCTTCGATCCACCTTTGCCACTTTCCATTTCAATTTTCGACCTTTTTTTCATATTTGCGCTTGGTATCCCCAACTGTGGAGGAGCTCATAGGGCTCGGCATTCAGACCTTTTCCGCAGTTATTTACGTCACTATGATGTTAGCTGCGAAAAAAAACTGGGTAACCGCAGGAGTTTTCTTATTGGCGTTATTGGTCTTGTTCTTTGGGTTTCCGTTTCTCCCATGCTGAGTCAGCTTTGTTTGATTTTCTGGACGTTTCTCCCACTGAAGGCTCGTCACCGGGGGGGGGAAGGGGTGTCAGCTATCCCTATCCCCAGCTTTGCATGCAACGAGCCAGCGTTGTTCGGGGCGTCCTTCAGGTCGCTTTCCGAGTACCAAGAGCTGAAGGCCATTTTACGGACGGTGCCTGGCCTACGCGCCAAGTACATGACCGTACCATCAGAGGCAAGCTTCGCGCAGTTTATCATCTGTGAGTAACCGAATCTTTGCGTACTTCGGTCGCGATGCACGAATGGCGCCACCTGAATGTAACAAAAAAAAAACAATACATGCCTCCGTCTGAAATCTATATTTTTACAACAATAAATGCCCCTTTCTGCTACGAATTCTCAGTTGCGTACGACCCTCCGCTTCTCCTCTTTTCTCCCCGTCGACTATCCCAGCTATCATCTTCCTACCACTTTGCTGGATTATCTGGAATTCTTTTCTGGAAATTCTCCAGCTTTTTCCCCGAAAACCTGCCGTCCAGAGGGTGGGGTGGGGAAAGCAAAACCGAGGGAAGTCAACAAGCAAAACATTTTCTTATTTTTTACGAAGGCAAAAAGGCAAATACCAACTTCCTTCTTATGGCGACCTATTACGACCTCGTACCCTCCCCCTCCCACCTCTCGCTGGGAGTCTCCAGGGCATGACGGGCCCTGAGCGTTAGATTTTCGTCTCAACATTGTGACGGCGAGTCTCACCTTCCTTTGGGATTGCTGCGTAGGATTCCGTGCCAGGCGCGTCATCTACACATGTCGAGCAGCAGTTCTATAGATTTTCAGTTTGAGGGGCTGTGGTATGATTTTGCCAGAAGCAGCTCCAGTCACGGAGCGCTATTTAGACCAAGTAGCACTGGGCGCAAACTTACCCAAAGGTTCAGACTGCCTTCAAATCATACCCACAAAAAATATTTCGGAACCCACGCTCCCTGTGGAAGCGCATAACCAAAGGCGTTTGCTTGGCAAACTCGATCGCGCTGTGACCTTGTTTATATCACTATGTAAATTAGCCCCATTTTTTCCACTATAATATTTACTTACTATCGAAGTAAAGTTGTCCGCGTAGTGTCTATTCGGTCACGGAACTACCAAAAATTGCCTCAAAAGAAACTGGGGCAAGGCCAAGTTTATGGGGGTAGTGGGGCGAGTGACAGGGGAATTAGAGCAACTATGCCGTGTGTCCTCGAGCCTTTTGTGTGTTGTGGTATTTGACCCTCTTCTCAAAACACTGTAATTGTTCCATTCGATTTCAGCATGCCGCAGTAGGAGAGAAGTGCGTAGGAGGTGGGGGCGAGGAACTTTTCAGAATAAGACCCCCTCCCTTAAAACTTCAAGATGCTCCTCCTTCATCAAGGATTATGAATAAGAGCTTTATGATTACGTGCCCTTCATGGAAAACTATTTTTTCGGTCTTTTCGTGCTTCATGGAAGGATGCAGCATCAATATGGGTGAAATGGTGGTGGCATAATCCCCCCCCCCCTCACGCAAATTCCTATTTTGGTTCCTGACCTTTCCGCAGCTTACCTACGCCCTTACCAACTTTCTCCAAAAAATTTGCCATCGAGGAGGGATAGGCATCTTCTATGAACTGTTTTGTGTACGCAATACTTTGCCGTGTGACCGACTAAGGGGAGGGGTAAGGCTGGGGGGGAGGATGTAACGCGTCAGAAACGGAAACATCAGCAGTTTGAAAATTTAGTGCGTTAGAAACAAAAAAAAATCGGCAATCTGAAGATATTTTCTCGAAACCTACGATCCCCTTTTCGTGACCCGGATACGACCCCCTCACTCGATGAGTTCGCTCAGCGATGTTGTGCGCTGCTTCATGCCTCCCAACAAAGGAATGCGGAACTCGGTGGCATGTGAGAGGTGCATAATGTGGCGCGCTTTATTCAACGGCCTACACTAAAATTAGAACAGTGGCAGTTGTAATCGATACAGTCGGAGAAAAAAAGGGAAAATTGATTTTTCACAGCGTCATGACTGAAGGGCCGTATCCAATGATTATTGTTTTCAGGTGAAAGTCGTCAAATTCAACTACATGTGGACAATCAATAATTTTTCATTTTGTCGGGAAGAAATGGGAGAGGTGAGTCCAGAGATTCATTTTAGCTCCCATTATACACAAACAAAGGACACATTTTATCGGTCGTAATCGGAATTTCGGCACTCAGAGTGGCTATTCAAGCGCGTAGAGCAGTAACAGCTAAAGCAGGAAAAGAAATAGCTTTGTAAACTGTCACAGCAGCTGAATGGAAAATTGAGGATTTCTTAGAAATCAAAAATAATCGAGGGGGGGGACAGTTCCCTGCAGGGTACAGCATCCTGATGGTTGTGAAGGGGCGGTGTCGGATATGGAACCCCCCGCCCTTCCCTCAACACCGCTTAATCACCGACACGGTCGCCGCCAGAGCATCCTATCCACATTTCCGGGAATTTTCCGAAAATTTTTCAGTTTATTTACATCTCAAGAATTCTGTGCCGAGCGGAGAGGGGGGTGTGAGGGGGGATAATAGAACAATCGTTGAAACAGCGGAAAAATACTGCGGAATAGTCAACAACTGGCGAAAAATTTTCTCCCACACGGCGCTCCAAATCTTTCTCCCGATCATCACATGAGACCTCCCCCCCCCTCCGCCCTTCCTAGCAGCCAGTACGATCGCTCACCAGGTCGTCATTACCCGATGATGCTGTCCCACCACTGGTTCCCCGGATCGGTAAATTCACTACCCCTTTCCTCGCCTCTCCATCCTTCCTTTGCTCGACTTCATTTTTCTGTAAGAAATAGGTAATTTTGAAAGGAACTCCAGATATTTGGTAGTAGGAAGTTGGCAGAATTTAGGGGGAATAATAGGTAGAGTGTTGGGTGTGAAGGGAGGGAGCGAGTCATAGCGAAGAAGCAACTTCGAGGAGGACGGGGGTTATAATTAGCAAAAGTTCCTCAAGGGCAGTACGTACCCTGTGCCAGGGCTGCCCTATTTCATTAGTTGCGTTTATCTTCTTTGTACTCCATCTCGCGCCTTCCCGGTTTTTGATTTTATCACAAGTAAATCTACGTACTGTCGTGTAGTAGTAGTAGTATTAGCTAATCGATAACCGCACGCCCACTTTGCAGGTGCTCAAATCATCAACGTTTTCGGCAGGCGCTAGTGACAAGCTAAAATGGTGTCTGCGGATAAATCCAAAAGGACTGGATGAAGAATCAAGGGATTATTTGTCGCTTTACCTGTTACTCGTGCAATGTGCCAAGAGTGAAGTGCGCCAAATTTTCAAAAAAGTTTTCTCATACTAATATGCGGAAACGATGAAGAAACACAAGCCATGGGTGAGTTTTTTTCTTCCGTGTGATTAATCTTTTGATGCCATTACTGTATCCATGGAAGCATTTAGTCATTTTATATGTCTACCCATCACGTTAAGGCGAATGAGTGTGAAAAACCAAAACCGGACGCGAGCGGTTGTGCTGAGTAGTCCGCTCCAGACAAAAGCTTAAAATGTTATAGTAGCGCAGTGAATTGTAACCGATTGGTAAATATGAATGGTTTCTTGACAGTTGACTCGAGTAGAATGAGCCAACATGGCTGATTGTAGTAAGGCAAAAAGAATCTTACAGCAGTTTGGCTTGGTGGGGGAGGGTGCCAAATGGTGCTCAATGCAGTCTGTTCAGGTCTACTTGTGAAGACCTGTTAATTCTTGTAACCGAAAAGGTTCTCTTGTACCACTGTGCAGCTCCACGAGAGCTCATAGATTTTTACCACAAATTAGACCTGTTTAGTTTTACCTCAAATTTAGGACCTGTTAGTTAATGTTGAACTAAACAAAAGAAGGAGCAGATGAGTGCAAAATGCCCGCTACCAAGCCCGCAACAGGCCGAATCTTCGGTTATGCGGGAGCATAAGTGACGATATACAGGTCTGCGTAGATAAATTTCTATCCTGTATGACTCAGCGATCCGACGGGCACTGCTAGGCCCAGCTATGTCGCCGCGACGTTGCGTCAATACCGGGTGAACTAATTGAAGGAACAAATAAGCGGAGTCACTAATTTCGGTCTAGGCAGCTCTCTAGAGGCACGCTGCGCCGCTAGTTAGGGATTTACCTCATACAGGGTAGTCGCGTCGTTCGTCGAGAATCCTCAGCGGGGCCGTATTTTATCGCTGGAGGGAGATGGGTATGTGTCCCGGTGACGTTCTCAATTCGATTTCTTCATCGCAAGGTGTTTCCCCCCTCCCCGCCGCTCTACGCCAACTTGAGCGGCAAAATTTGCGGGAATTTGTTGAGGGAGGTGGTTATTTGAAGGAAGGACGTATTGATTAGAGCCGTTCGCATTCAGACAAACTGTCCCTCCCATCGCCTAGAACGTACAACTGTGTTTTACATCCCTATAATGAAACGATCCGCGCTCTTTTAATGGGTAGTCGGGACCACCATTGCGCCTTCCTCATTGGTACCAGCTTCGCTCTGCTGTCTTAGGCGAAAGGGATGCGTCAATTGAGAAAATACCCCTGGTAGAATCGGCTGCCGCCTATACCGACGACTGTTGGAAGTGTGCCTCGATATACCTAGTGCGGGTCTTGAACTGCAAGTAACACTGCTAACAAGATGCACAGATTAAATGAGATGGGCATCTCGTTTTTATGGTGTCTGTGGCAATCGCCTAAGCATGTTGGGACCTGTGGTATTAATGGCAGCGTTTCATGCTTGTATTGCAATGGTTCAACGGCCAGCGGATAAGGCGAAAGCGGCCTCGATTGACGCCGTCAATCGCGGCACCGGATTGCCGAAGTGTGAAACGCCGACTTTGTGATATCTGTCGGCCTTGCAGCGAGTTTCTAAAGAAAGTTTCGCTTTATAGAAACGCTCTGTCAGTGTTGGGTAAGACTCAGTATCTACTAACAAGAGTGTGTTTTATACATCAGTCGAAATGCGAGTTGGCCAAATTATCCTTGCCTCCAAATTGGCTCGAACCCCGCTTCACGCTTTCCGGTCGAGTGCGCTGTCCATTAGCTACCAGGACCGCTCTCACCCTTTCGGCTAACCATAAGTATTATTTTTAGTTTGGCTTTTGAAAAGTAGTGGCGAATGGGGAAATGTTGGGAATGTCAAGGTTGCAGCCGGTATTTTCGTAGTAATGTGGTCTGTGTATGGGGACAGTCTGAGGGCAACCTGCGCCCGTGAAGATCTGGGGATGTTTATTTAGGTTTTTACGAAGATTTTACCCTTCCCTGAGTTTCCATCCCATAAATCGTGCTGTTCTATTTAAATTCTGCCCCTGCTGGGCCGCCACCCGCACCGCGGCTGTTTCATAGGTTTCACTTTTACGTCTTTGGAATAGCTAGAAGCCGGTAGTAAAAGCGAGGAAAAACAACCCCATTTTTCATGTGTCCTTCGCTTTGATCACCTTCAAATCACACGAGGCTGACAAGGTTTTTCATATACATCGCCGATCTTTATCTATAATTGGAACAAGGCCAATAGTTGTCCTTGTCGAGCGCCGAAGGTCCATCCCATGGTCATGGTGGAGCTCGTTCGCCGTTTGCAATCGCTCTAATCGAGGGGATAGGAATTATAGCGTATCTGCTACAGTATTGAACAATCTCCTGATATACGCATGTAACATTTCACATTCAAATTTCGGAAATGGTTGATTAGTTGGGGCGAAATTACCTTCCGCTACTGAAGTAGCAAATTTGAGTTCACTGCTTTCTTGCGTAACAGCAAATTAGGCGGCGCGAACTACGAATTTCAAAAGAACTCGTGTTGTTTATTTATGACCTTATATATTCTTTTATTTATTCATTCATTTTGCGCCCAATAGATGTATTGGTCAAGCGTGAAGTAGCAACATGCGAATGATGAAATAGGATGGAGATAAGAAGAATGAGGCAAAGAACACGATGGCGAAAACAAAAATTCTTCGGAAAGAAGATAAAAGAACATAGATACAGAAGAATGGGGAAGGAGGTGATTCAGATAAAACGGCAGTTGCGTATTTTAGAGAGGTGTTTGAAAAAACTGGCTGCCTAGTAAATGCCTGCAAGGATTTCATATGTGGGACTCCCTGTGCAATACTGGAACTACCGTGGCGGAGATAAAGACGTCTAGCTGACCCAAAAGGGGAATGAGCGAGGGAGGGAAGTCGCACCTGCTTTGAGGAAAATGTTTTCACTTGTTGGCTTTTCGTGGTCTCTTCCTTTTCATTCGCTCTCTACCTCCCTCGACGATGGCTCATACGATAAAAAGCAGTAGAAGGTTGGCAGTTGATAGGTAGGTAAGTAGGATGGTGGATGGAAGAGGGGATCGATATCGGGCGAAAAATTTTATGTTTCTACTTCTGAGCCAACGAGTTTTGTAGGTGGAACTTTATTTACGGCAGGATAAGGATAAAGGATAAAGTCTTCGCCGTTAATCAAGCTCTTTGTGGGATGCGGCACGCATTCTACTTCCATTCAGAATCGTAGTGGCTTATTGAATGCGATGTGGCCTATACAATGACTTGCGGGGGCCACGATGTACAAGTCAGTGTTTTATCCTCCCAGACGAATCTGGTACCAATTCACCGTCCCCGGAGGGTAGAAGGCTTGGTTGGCCTGGGCGGGTGTCGACCTTGGGATTCGAACCAGAACCTGGTGAGCGCGCCACTTGTCACTGCACCACCTCCGCCTCAAAAAAGCAGTAGTGCTCTGTAAAAATAAAGCAGCCTCATCATTGCCGGAATAATTGAATAATAAATAATATTTAATATTATTTATTATTCAATTATTTAATTTATTTACGGCAATTTATTCAAATCTACGACAATGTCGAGGTTATACATACGAAGAGAGAAGTTGGAGACTATTGGAAGAAGTATCGGGAAAAGTTTTGAGGAATATTGACGTAATTGATTATTTATTTTGCGTAATCATCATGACATTGAATCAGGAATTTATGGGCTAACAAGGTACATAGGGAATAACAGGACCATACTTCGTAGTCACCCTGTAAAAACTAAGCAGCCTCATGTGTTCATTGCCGGAACAGCGCCTTAGGGATCAACAAAACGTCAAAACGTTCAGTAAATTTATTTATTTATTTAATTATTTATTTATACTGTGGACAACTAAGAACTGTTGCAGAGTCTCAACGAGCGTATCGATTCGTACAAGGTAAAGATTGGGGATTCAAGAAGTTTATTCGAAGGGATTTCCTGCTCGATGAATCCAATGGCCTGTTACCAGATGATCGGCTCAGTATATTCTGTGAAGTGGGTTCTGTTTAAATTTTCCCGTAGAAGCTCAGAAGTGGGCTTATTTTGGAGAGCGCTTGTAATACTTGGCACTGTTCAAGTAAAATGGAGCTCTTTGGTTTAGGGCACAAAAGGCAATGGAAATCACGACAAACACTTGACCATAAACGCCTAGGAAGAGCGCTGCTCTTTTTGACCATCAAAGGCCAAAGCTCGTGATCTTTGGCCCTATCCTGAGCGTTATCGGGAATTACTGTATTCGTGCCGAAAACTACACCAAATGTGCATCATTAATAGAACAGCGCCCTGTTTAAGAGATGTAGTCCCCCTGCTGTTCTGCCATCATTCCTTTTCCACGGAGGAACTCCCTCGTTACCCTTCCCCCTCTTCTTCTTCTTCTTCGTCTTCTTCTTCTTCTTCTTATTCTTCTCCTTCTTCTACTTCTTCTCCTCCTCCTGCCTCCTGCTCCTGGGTTTACCGTAACCCACACTAACTATTACACCGAAAGTCCTACCTTAGTGCAACAGCGCCCTGCATACGTTTCCAAAATGATTTGAATAAGGAGTGGAGGACGGCTCACGGAGGGTCTTTGATGAGCCACAGGATGATGAGCCCAGCTATTATGTCACAGCTGCTTTCGAAGATGTGCCTTTTGGCCCGTTGATCTACCGAAATTTCTTCACTTCTTCGGATTTATCCTTTCCAGTTTCTAAGCCGGCATTGGTTTTCCTCCGAACTTCGGAAGATTCGACACAGCGCCCATTATCGTCGTAGGGTTGGGGCTGGGGTCGTATTAGGCCTCGAACAGATTCCTTTCCAACACTCCACAGCAAGAGTTTGTGGAATCGAACGCATGAGGTAAAGGTCATAAGGTCCACCATTACTCCTCGTCTGCTGTAGCAGGCAGTTGTAATTCGTTCGCCAGAGATGTAACAAAACCCAAGGTGATTTATTTGGCCTTGTCCCGAGGTTACTTAGCCGGGCACGCACTCGCGGCAGTTTGACCGCCAAAATCACCTGACTGTAAACTACGTCCGCCAAAGCATTGAAAAATCTCAATGTTCTATAAAAAAACCTTGAAAAAGGTCAGAGTGAAGGTCTGGCTGGCGTGACGGATAATGTTTTCTTCTGTACGGGTAGTGCGTTTTTTCAAACTGGGCAGACCCTTGGTATCCCTTTTGTAACTGGAATGGTTTCCAAGCAGTAGACAGCATGTTGTGGGATCCTACACGGGGAGGCGTCGTACAGCGTGAAGGTTCTGGATGTGGGGTCGTATTCGGTTTCAAAATGGTACTGGAAATTGGAAATTCTGGGAGAAATTGAAAAAATTTCTTGTGCCTGCTTGAGATTTGCGCCAGTATGCACCCGGATGATCCCTTTCTGCCCCTCCCCCTCTTCCTCCTCCTCCTACTGCTTCTCCTGCTTCTCCTCCTGCTCCTCCTGCTCCGCTTCCTCCTCCTCTACCTCCTTACGTTGGATTCTAAGTAAATCCCTGGAGGGATGAACTCAGTCCATCTGCCTGCTCGTCGGTTGTGCCTCAGATCATCGCGTCCCCTCACGAAAGCTGTTAAACAATAGGGTCTGTCTCAAAAAGAAGTATCATTAACTTGCGATGTCAGTAAGACACTGAAGAGCCCCCTTGAGCTTGGCACGGACGACTGGCATGCGCCATTGAAATGTATGTTTAAGACGCTCAAACTCTTTGAAAGTTTGGAACACTTTTGCGGCAATGGGAAACCGGGACTCTATGCGACGGGTAGCGTGAGGACTAACAATATGTTTGCGGTTTTTAGCTGTACAATAGAAGGCTTCGAAGATGCGTAGTGGAAAACACTTCCAGTCTATGGAATAGGAATAGCCTGAATTTGAAGTCGGAAACGAATCGAGGTTTTAGTTCGACAAGTGGGGTGCTGACAAAAATGCGTGCGGTCTTCAGCTATTGAATAGCGCTCCAAAAATGAGCCGTCGAAATGGTTGTAGACCGCTTCCAATTTCAAATTGGAACCTCATTCCGGAGTTCGGAAACCGGGACGAGGGCTCTCTGTGTACCAGGCAGGTGCAAGGGTTGCGACTTTACGGCTATCGAGTGGAAGGTTCAAAAATGTAGTGCCGTTTTGGGATTTGAGCCCTTTCCCGAAAATCGGAAACCGGAAAGGAGAGTTCTTGATGAGACGGACAGCGGGGGAGGGGGGAGGACGGGGGGAGGGGAGGGAGTGGGTGCCTAATAATAGCGTGCGCCCGGTTTCCAGCAGCGAATAGCAGCTTCAAAAGATGCATCATTGAAATGAAAATTAGAATCCTTCTCGGATAAATACGAGTCTTTTTGCGGTGCCAGCCGGCCGCGTTGGCAGTAGTGACAACGGAGTTCGCCCTTCGATTTCTCCAGCTGTCTAATAGAAGCCGAAAAGGTGCTCCGTCTCAGTTCTTAGGACATCAATCTTTTTTCGGGAATCGGAAATCGGAACGAGGTCTCATCATTTCACAGACAACTTGGAGCCTGCTTGCAATAGGTTCGCTACACTTTCCCGACTGTCGAGTGGAATGTTGCAAAGATGGTGTCGGCTTCTAGTTCTGGAATTTGAGTCCTTTTCCGGAAATCGGAAAGCGAAAGAGGGCTCCTGATGTGTCAGGCAGCGCGGGGGCGGTGACAATAGGCTTGTTTCAGTTTGCGGCTATCGAATGAAAGCTTCAAAAGGTGAAACCCACGTGTCGAAAGACAAGTTAGAACTGGATTAAGTTCCTGAGTAGACCACGATCGTTCCGTCGAATTCAATTATCCAAATAAAAAAGCCAAACTCGCCAGCGGTGGTGCTCTTCATTTGTTGTTAGCTCGATTCTACGATGATTGCTTGGTCGTCGGCCGTCGCTTTACCGGCCTTTCAACATTGTTGGTATCATGTGCCACCATGGCCGTTAGCCTGTCCACATTTTGTCAGCATCAACCATCTACCGGCGTCTCCACTGCACCAGCAACAGCTGCCACCACTGCCATTGCCCCGGCACCACCACGATTTTATCGAAATGGCAACAGTTACTATCCAATCAACACCCAGTTACGCCTGCCACGGCCTCCTGCTAAGAAACGAAACAAGCATAAGTGGTATAATTTCACGCCTCGTCGTGAACAACAGGTGGTTCCTGAAGAGGAAAAAGTACGGTGGTTGTGGTTTGTGACTATTGGTCAGTTTGTCAAATCAGTATTTCCAGGTTTCCGTGGTTGCTGAGACAGTCAACGTCACTGGACAGACTAGTGCTCAACAATTTAAGGTGCTGTTTTGAAATTTTACTCTTTCAAGATTAGTTTCGATGGCGCATTGTGCCGCGGGGATGGTAGTCTGCAATTTTGCGTCAGCCCTACAGTAGCCTGCAGTTTTCAAGGAAAAGAGATTCGGGGTATATGAACCTCCAGTAGTTTCGGACACGCTGGAATCTGCGAGGTTGCTTATCCATTTCAGAATCTCACGACGCAAAACTGCAGACTAGGTTACCCTGAGGTGGAACAAAACGCCCATAACTTGTTTTAGTTCTACAATTTGATGAAAGATGGTACTATCTTTTGTTAAGGTCCCTCCTTGCCGATTGTCAGAAGATCTTTCGGCACTTTTCGAGAGTAAACAGTTCAGTGATTGTACATTAGTGGCGACCTGTAAATCAAATGGACCTCAAACGTTCCATGTAAGTTTGTTATTGTCTTAAGCGTTTTCACACCTGTAGTCCCCATTCGGCGCTATATGCGATAGGGAAAATTGATTTTACGCGCGTAAAATCAATGCTCTTGGGGGCACGGCTCATGATACATGATAATCGTACGGGCGGGAGCGGTTAACTATTGTGCCTTCGTTAGCCCGGTGTTCCTCTCTGTTGTCTAGAAATCTGGGGCGCACCAGTGAGAAGAGCATAATATTTGACTGTCCCCGCCCGTACGATCAACGTAGAATGTGCTTTAAATGATGGCGCTATGGTAAACTAAAAGCAAGAACATTATTTTGTGCTATACCAGTGCGAGCGAAAGGAGATCATAAGTTTAGGAAAGCAGACGGACACAGTACCTCCCAAAATTTGCGCGTGAAATCAGATGTGCAAGGCCTGTGGACGCACACACGTAGGCATACCGTAACCCGGTTTCGTTCAACGCGTACAGTTAAGTGCCATCGTCTTGTGCACATAGTACTTAGCCTGGGCAGCACCTGGTTACAGGTGGTAAGCGAAATCAACATCTGTGTTAGGGGGTTGACGAATTTACGGTTACGTTGATTGTGGAGTCCAAGACCTAGTACATTTAATTTCACGCGCTATTTTCGGGGGTACTGTATCCTCCTCTTTTCTCAAACGTATAATCCTGTATTTGCGAACACATTTAGCATTGCAGAGATTGGGAAATCGTTGCTGTTTACTCCGTTTCGACATGGCGTAGAATCCGTCCTTCTTGGCATGTTTCCATTTGGGATAATTGTCACCCTGTCACACCGGGACGAAGGCACCATTCAGTTGTCCCAGCACAGAAATATCCTGCCAAAAGCGCAGTCGCCATTGCGTCTAAATGAATCACGCAGCCAATTCCCCTCCCCCCTCCCCCATCTGCGGGACATTGGAGTGCGGCTTTACCGCCAGATAGCTTCGAAGTACGACGGTACATTATGGATGAAGGTCAATTTCGACGATTTGTTAGAGTGCACATACGCGGTCCTAGCGGCACGATCGGTGTATTCCATGCAATGTTCGAGCACAATATGACGGAATCGGAGCGGAATGAGGTCGCGATCGACGATGTCGAACCCGATGTGAGTGCAAAATTAAATTCAATGCCGACGTTGACTTTGTCACTATCGTGAGGGTTTATGGGGTAGACTGGTTTGAAGGACGCGCTGTTCTTTTCGTAGGATGATTTTGAATGTTGCCCTTGACGGAAGTAATTGTGATCGATGTTTGTACGTTTGTAAGCTGCACAAAAAAATAAGCTGATATGTGTGGTTTCGATCGGGGTATTGGCTGTTGAAGTAGTTTCGAGGAGAGCAGAGAAGTGCCAATTTTCTCATATTGCTTTCGTTGTTCCTGGTAGGGAGGGAACGAATATGATTTTGCATGTGCCCCACCTAGCAAACTGCTGTGTATATAGCTCACAGCTTTATGCCTACCCTTGGGCTTAGTCTCCAGTGCTGACCGCACAATGGTTATTGATCGATTTTAAGCTTGTATGGCTAGCGAGCCGGTCACCAGGGGTCATAACTCGGATTGGCTCCTGTTAGGCCGCGGCTGTCCATGACGCTGTTAGTGTGTGAAGTGGCCGCACTTACTGTCCAGGGAAATCGATATTTTGGATCAATCACTAATTGTGATGCGTGGTACGTCCCAAAAAGGATTGATCAACGTCGACGGCTTTATTCTTTGTTCACCTTTTCCACTGCGTTGTCACGCTTATCTGCGCAGCCACCAGTTTTAGTTGCGGTGGATCGTTGCGCACGTTACGGTAATGCGACGAGTTAGTCCGCGCAATGGTGTCCTTCAGCAATGTCTACCGCTCACAATTGAGATTGTGGTGTCAAACGTGCCGGAACTGTAATGTACGGTCTTCAAGCGGGATGATTCAATGATTTAGCGCGCAACACTCGTTCACTCAGTTCTGAACATAAAGAGAGATTTCCGCGCGCGACATAGAGTTTTTACTCTGCGTCTCTCTAACTTGACTACTCGGTTCTACGGCCAATTCCGATTATGTGAAGCTTCCTGAGAGGTGCTGGGAGCAGGCCTACGGCATTGCATGATGTACTGAAATGGGGGTGTGCATGTACCCCCCCTCCTCTAGTTCGTCCTCATAAACGAACCTTTTCCCTATCTCCCTACCATCTCCCTATCACTTCTCCCTGCTTTCCAAGAATTTCTCCGGTTTTCCTGCAAATGTTGTCGGGCGGGGTGGAGGGTCGTCACGCAGCTAAACTATTAGGAATGTAACTCTATGTACTTATGGGCGCGCCTTGCAACCAGGGCACGTCGGTACGTTGTGGCATCCCAGCGATGCACATATTTGGTTAGTTGAAGGGAGGAAGGGGGGGGGTGGTTGCTGTTTGGACAGAGAGAAATGTTTTCGGTCGCTGACTTTTCTCGGTTTTGAGTTTTCTTCTGTTTCAAGTGCGATATGAAACCCCACCCGCTCCCAACCCGGGGAGGGCAGTTCTCTGCGGGAAAGGATTTAGAGAAAAGTAGTAGGGAGATGCTGGGAATTGGCGAGCCGGGTGGGAGGGGAGTCGTAGCAAAGGGAATCGGGTGGGGGAGGGATCGCAGCAAATTTTTCGCCAATGGCAGAACGTCGGAGGTTTATAGCAAACATGGAAGCCAGGGAAACTTTTCTGGCGGCTCGTAGAAGTTTTTCTGAAAGGCAAGCACGAACGCAGCGACCAAATACGCCCCGCTCTCCCGATGGAATTCTATCAGCATGCTTGGCGTGCCTACAGTGTGAGTCCACTCGTCCCGATGTAGCGTCCGTTGGTAGAAATGAGGCGTGTAGGCTCGGATGTGTTTGTTGTCGGTGAACTCTCTGGCCTCTAGAATGTTCTGTGGAAAATGACACTTTCAACGGCCGTCCAACCAATTAATGGTATGGAAAAGAACGGTGTGAGAGGCATGAAACTGAATAGTGCTGTTTTTGCCGAGGAGACGCAACGCGTTGGCTGTGATCGAATTGAAAGGGAGTTGGTTCGAATGGGTTCCGAATGAAAGGGACAATCGGAACGTAAATGATTGGCTCATCACTGGTTCTCCTCGGCTGAAGTCGGAGTTCACGGAGTTCAGAGAACCTCGTTAGAAACCTGAAAAGATGTTAATTGTTGTGCGAAATCGACGTGTTCGATGGGAGGAGATGGGAAGATGTGCAAAGGCTGGTCGAAATCTGTGTGGGAGCGTGCATTCGATGTAGAGTGGGGTGGGAACTTTGAAGATTTCTTGGTTGGCCTTAGTTGACACTTTAAAGTGCATATGGCTGAACTTTTGATGAAGGGGGGGACTAAACTTTTGAGGTGAGGCGAACACTGGGACTGCAGTTGCCAGCAGGAGACGAAACAGCCGACAGGATCATAACTGACTAGCGTTCATCGTAGCCAATGTTCAAAAGATCAAACGTCGACGAACTTCGGACGTGTGGTCAGCCCAGTGAAATAACATGGACTGGATGTAGGGCACAGAACCTATTGGGGGTCTCCATTAGGGTGTTCGGTCGCTGGGAAGGGGAAGGTCGTAATTGTCCTCGAAACTCATTTTGATAGCTGATTTCTTCATTTTAAGCGCTCCTCATTGGTAGAATCTCACTAAGAAGTATTCCTGTTAAGGGTATGGGGATCGCGGAAACGTTTGTTTCCGCGCTTCACATACGCTGCGTCCCCCTCCCCCTCGCTCGACTGTAAAATTTAGGAAAATACGTTGTAAAGGGAGTCGTACAGAGGAG